AGAAATTCCAGACTGATTTTACCGTTTTGCAAGAGATTTACAGTTTTTTGGGCGTCGAAATGTATAAATGAGAGCTCGCGTTCTTTATGTGAGGATTAAATGGTACAAATCGCTTTTATATAAATGAGACAGATGAAGAGTAACGTTGCTCGCGATAGAGATTAGTAATAAACAAATTAAAAATTTCGAAACTGAACAAAATTATTAATTTTGTTCTGGTCCAATGATTGTTAGTTAATTTTTTGAGGCATACAATGGATTAACATACGTCTCCGTTTATCATCTTAAATCAAATTATTCAAGCAACTGGAAATGTAGAGAGATTTATATTCTGTCGTTTAGTCAGGGATTTCTCTAAAATGATTCTATGTTTATACGTTTCACTAAAATAAAATTCCCCATGACTTACTACAAAATTTCTATATATAAAAATACGTCGTTCGAAAGCCACTCGTCGCGAAACGAATCACGCGGAATACGTTCGCGTCATTTGCCTCAGTCCTCCGCGTGTCACCGTACGAAACCACTCGATATCCCCGAACTTCTCCGGTAAATTTTTGTTCCTTTCTCTCTCTCTCTCTCTCTTTCTCTCTTTTTGTCCGCCTATTCGTCGATACGCGAAATCGTGGGAACGAACGATCGGCCGAAACACAAGAGCGTTCGATGTCGAAAACGTGCTCGATTCATCGACTTCGTGATCCCGACGAGAGAGCGAATCAACGATGAAAGCGTTGGTCGGCCGGCAGCCGCAGATAAATTCGTATCGATTCGTCTAGCGCATCGAGGCCGTGATTGACGAGGTTCTCTCGTCAAGGATTATGCGGTTCGTTGGTTGGAACGAACGGCTTTGGGGCATGAGTGCGTAGACAAATATATAGGTATAGCCGGGCCATCCAACCACCGGCCAGTGGATACTTCCCAAACCACCGAAACCTCAAAAACCGCCGAGGGCCATGCGTCTGCGATATTATCGCTCGCCAAATGAGGATACGTTGCCGATTGCCGATCGATCGATAACTCGCGTTTTCACAAATAAAAGAAATTCGTCCAACTGCGAGATCGCTCCGCTCGTTTCACTAACGCGTTAACGCCAGCGTGATTTGAGATTCCGTCTCCTCGTCTCTTCTCTGGTTCAGTATACTTTTCGATCGTAAAACGATGGTTGAACTACGACCGGAAATATGACTTCGATTGCGATGAATCGGATCATGTATAATATGGATCATTCCAGATGAAAAACAACATTTTGAATTAACGTCACTCGAGAATAGTCGTACAACAGATTTTAAAAGGTAGATTTCAATTTTCAAGATCGTTTAGTTTGCATTTGCAGATTCTCTCTCTCAAGAGGAAGTATCGTTACTCGTCCGTTTTGCAAGTGTACGCAAGAAACATTTTCAAATCGCACCACTGTTTTACGATTGAAAGAAGTGGTTCTAAAGTGGTCTGAGTTAGGCCTAATTGACGCTCTCGCGGCAAAAGGAAACAATCCTCGTCGTGTGTGCGTGCGTGCGTGTATGTATTTTACAACGCAAGGCGTCGCGAGGCATCTCCAACGGTGTAATTTGCATTCTTAAGGCGCGCGTGCGACGATTGGCCCCCACGAAGCACGGGATAATTAAGTAGGCTCGTCAGAAACGGAATCCACACGGGGTTTTCGGGGCTTCGAGGTGATGATATCGAGCGTGCCTCGCATTCGCAGCGACCGATGCTTGCAACCGATCGACCGAAACGATAACGTTAGACACGATGACGAGCCGCAACGGCAAAGCCTGTAATTCACCGGGAATAAATTCTTCGGGGTGCAACGGTACCCTCGCTGAGGTGCCCCGTAAAGAAAAAAAGCGGCGAGCGAAACGATGCTTGGTCGCACCTACGTACGTTTGATCTGGCATTGCACCGCATTGTATGTATATCGGTTGGTGTTAAACTGCCGTGCGGAAGAAACGAAGACGGAGAAAGGTTCCAGCCAGAAGGTTGAACTCGAGACAGAAGAGAGAGAAAGAGACAGAGAGAATCTCACGGTGATGGCTGAAAGAACAATGTTGTCGGAGAAGAGAAGCTCGAGGGGATGGGGTTACGAATGGAATATCGGCCTATAACGCGACACGGAACAAGGAGACGTACTGTTGCGATTGTTCTTTAGGATTAGAGATTGGATCGAGTACCTCGCGGATAGGTCTCAACCGTCAGTCGTTGAATTCGAACGTTTTCTAAGCATTTCCAATTATATGGTCCTCGCCGAGGGGCTGAATCTAAGCAGATATTTTTTATATATTCGTCTTACGTACTTGGGCAGATAGATTCGAACCTTTTCACCCTTATAAAGCTAAAAATAAGTAAGTGCATATTGGACTTGACACCGTGATCTCGAGGAGAAGCCGTAAACGAGGAGAAATACGGAAGGCTTTGAGGCCTCCCGGTTTTTTGCAGGAGTAGCCCGATGCGGCAGGAG